CCCTCCCCAGCTTTCTTGTCAGTCCCTTTAGGTACAGAAAGGCTGCTCTAAGGTCTGCCCAGACCCTTCTCTTCTCCAGGCTGAACAACCTCAACTCTCTCAGCCCATCCTCACAGCAGAGCTGCTCCAACCCTCAGATCATCTTCGTGGCCTCCTCTGGACTCGCTCCAACAGGTCCATGTCCTTCTTGTGCTGAGGACCCCAGAGCTGAAGGCAGTACTGCAGGGGGGGTCTCACCAGAGCAGAATAGAGGGGCAGAATCCCCTCCCTCGACCTGCTAGCCATGCTGCTTGTGATGCAGCCCAGGGTACGGTTGGCTTTCTGGGCTGCAATCGCACATTGCCAGGTCATGGTGAGCTTCTCGTCAACCAACAACCCCCAAGTCATCCTCATCAGGGCTGCTCTCAATCCATTCTCCACCCAGTCTGTATTTGTGCTTGGGATTGTCCCGACCCAGGTGCAGGACCTTTTCTCGCAGTCTTGACACCTTCTAGTAAATTAGTCACTTGTCGAGGAAAATGACAGATATATAGCAATAGGAAAGTTTGCAAAGCTCTTCATTTACCGTTAGAAACGTCTATGTCACTGTCAAGCAACAGTAACATCCCCACCCTGTTTTACTCTCGAGTGCCCTATCTCAGGGGCTTTTTGCAAATCGTGCTTTAATGAAGTTTAAATAACAAGTATATTTCTTAGTTCTAAATGCTACTTTTCTCTTACCTGCATGATTGTTTTCTGAAAAAGTTAGTTCCCTGAAGCTGGTATACAAAATGAAAGGCTATTGTAATTAGTGTAATATCATTCCAAGAGAAAGCCACGAAAACTGCAGCTTCAGACAGCTGTCATCTCTTTGGCTATTCTGCTTATTATTCACAGACAAATTCTGATATCTTCTGCACGTTACATAGTATGCTTATGTGCAATTTCATTGAAAGCACTCATGGACCAAGATCTGTAAGTATCTATCTCAGAATCTAGCCTAGAGAAAGAATGGAGCTTGAAAGTCATTTCAGACTTAATTTTCCCTCAGCGCAGTCATCATTGTAAATAGGTACACATAAACATACACTTTCTTTCTTTAGAAATAATTTATATGAATTCAACGTCCTTATATAATTGGCTAGATACGACAGTCACTGAAAACTGAAATCCGCTTATTTACATGACAGACAGGATATGGACAGCAAAAGAAAATTCTAAAAATGGATGCTCTAAGGAACAGCAAGAATGATTATCTTCAGTGGTAAAAGGGTAATTGCTGTTACATGGTAAAAAAGAAATTGGGTAAATTCATATAAATACTCTTTGGAGAAGAAGCACTTACTGGCTAAAGACGCTGACACATTATGCAAGCCAATTACTGTGTGGAGTGGTTGTGATACCTCAAACGCACACTCATTTGTAGGATGCCTGAATATTGCAGGAAAGCATCTATCTAGAACACCTGGTGTTCTTCCACTGATGGCACAGATTCCCCTGAAAAGATTTAGACTCACAGAATCATACAATATAATTTAGAACAGAAGGGACCCCTGAAGATCCAATGCTTGCTCTAAGTGGGACTGACTTCAAAGTTAGAAAAGGCTGCTCAAGACCTTATTGAGCTTTCAGTATCTCCAAGGAATCTACAGTCTCTCTGGGCAATCTGGGAATCTCCCTCACTATTGCCTATGACTCTTATCTTCTGTTGTTTCACTGTGCACCTCTGGGAAGAGTGTGGCTCCATCTTCTCTGTGAACCCCACTCCTATTAGACACTTCTCCACGCTGAACAAGCCCAAGTCCCCAGCCTTACCTCACATGTTATTTCAAAAATATCTCCAAAGAACTCCTTCATGGTGAAGGATGAGAGGATCAGAAGTTCCCCAGTGTTAAGGTCTAAAAGCTGAAGAGACCCTGTAAGGCATGTAAGCAAAAGCCACCCTTGGCTAAATGGGTACTCCCTGACAATATGGTGACACAGCACCTCTTCACACATGCTAGCTGCTCTTGAAGAGTTCAAGTAGCAGCAAGGTGAGCTATTAAGAGTGGCTTTATGAAAGTTTCCCTTACTAAACACTTCTATAGATAAGATACAGAATTGCTGAAAATCCAGCAGCTTGTTTTTCAGAAGCAATACGGTCAGAGTTAGCAGCTTGGTTTCAGCTGCCTTCTCCACAGACATCACTCCCCTTGCTCATAGGAAATATCTTGAAAGCCTTCTTCCATGCGTTTCATCTGAGAGCTCATTTTCCTGAAACCCCATTCATACTCAATACTACCTAGCAGATTGGTTCTATCACTACATATAATTATGAAAACCAAAGCTGTTACAAAACCCACAGTTGATTACAAAAAGTGAACGTGGCATTGAAACAAAATTTGCTTAAACCCACCAGGCTATGAGATTCCTTCTCCATTATTACCCCAGAACAGCACATAGCCTATGTAACTGTTGGAGGACTCTCCACAAAGGAAAAACAAGCATGACACTCTTCTATTACACTTCAAATTCTGTCAGAGTAAGATTAATACAAAGTTCATGCACCTACTGGAGCATAGAGATTAACATCCCGTCACACAGAGATTGAGGAATACATTTTAGGACATCTCAATTTAGAGAGCTCTCTTTGAAAACCTTGTGGAAAGGCTTGTGGTCAAAACCTAGTTAGAGATATTTACTCCTTTGAGCCTTAGTTTAAAACACATTTCTCCTTTCAGATACAGCCCACATACTGTCAGGGCTTTTCTTTCTTTTCCTTTGTTTCCAGATTATATAAGAAATCCACTTTGTCTTTAAAGAATAGTTTTTACCCTTGTGAAGCAGTAAATTATTATGTCAAGTTTCTTCAGTTAGCATACCTGTATAGCAATTTTTTTTTTCAATAAAAATAACCTTTTGTTAAAGGTTTCATTAGGCTTCCCAGGAGGCTGATAACAGCCAAATCGCCAGCCATCTGCAGGAACCACTACAGACTCTGATCATGTACTCTGAACAGTGAAATTCTTCTCAACACTAGTTCAGACAATGGGATCCCTGTATTTTCCAAGTGCTTAATCACACCAAGGGCAGGAGCCCAAATCCTTTACTCACACTGAACTTCTCCAATGGTCTTAATGAAATGAAATGAAAATCAGGCCTCAGGCAAATTGTTAGTAAAATTTAAAATCTTGAGGAAATTATCCCTTCTATTTTTAGTATTTTTAGTATTTTTAGTACCAAGAATGGATTACTTCATAGAAGTCTATAGATAGATAGTTCTTTTAAAGCCCACATGCTTCATCTTTAGGCAGAAGAGCAGGTTACTGTAAAGATACTTGAACATTAAGCATAAATCCCCTCCTACACTCCAAGCATACCACCATATTACCGGTACTTTAACGTCCAGCACAGCAGCAAAACTGTACAATGGGTCCATTCCAAAACACTTTAGAGTGCTTCAGTCAGTTTCCAAATTAGCTACTGTCAGAGAGTTAAGACCCTACTTAAACGCCACACTCCCAACACCTTAAATACTTGGAGGTTGCATGCAGAAAGCTTACCCCTTGACTGCAACCCGTGTCCACACGCCTCATTATGTCCCGGTACACCCTGTCTCACCGAGTCCGGCACCAGCACGCAGTGACTCCAGCGGTGGGTCTTCCACCTGCAAGGGGAAAAGGTTAACAATTAAGTGGTTAAAACTGGAAAACAGTTAACAGGTCCAGGCAAAAACTTCAGTTACAAATTATGATATACTGCGGAGACTTAAGTAAAAATAGAGTCAAAAAGATGTAACTACTCCTGAAATAAGCATTGTGAACTCAAATTCAGATACAAGGTTCACCTTCTAGAAAGTCACATCATCTTCCAACGTTTCCCTTTCTCATTTTTGTAGGGCATGGTTCAGAGTTACATAAAACACACAGGAAACATCTTCAGTGGGCTTTGAAATCAGGCTCTCCTCCTGCAAGCATGTTCTCATACTGTTCCCAATCTGCTTTCCATGCTAGGATGTGTACCAGTCAAGAACATGGGAAAGCAGCTTTCCATAGTGCTATGCGGTACAGAGCCAGGCAGAGCTGAGTGATGTGACTCCTGCTTCGGCACCACCTTCAGCTCCCTGCTCTGCTCTGTGACTATGTCCTACAGGACCTGTGGGCTGGAGATTTATATGCAAAGATATAATGCTTTTCTGTTTACTAATATTGTATAACAGATGGGCCACAGAATTTTAATGAAGAGTGGTGAGTAATTGCCCTATTGTACTATTTGTCTAATCAGAATTTTTTTAAGTGCATATTATTCACTGGAGTGAGAGCATCAGGGGAAAAAAACAAGAGTTTCTGCAATGAGCATGCAATTGTGATTAAGGCAGTTGAGTGCCTGTGGTCCCATTATAGCTTACATTGATTTTTAGAGACATTGAGGGGGGAGTTCCCAGTAACAGCTTCCTTAAACACATCGAACCCTGAGGTTACCATTTCTAGGAGCTGTGTCTATTGGTGCTTGTTCTGATGACGCCAGATCTACTGAAACCTTCAATTTGAAGTCTACTTTTACATGTTTTGCGAGGCACATTATTTGTTTATAACTCCGCATTTTCCAGTATTATGTTGTTTTGCAGCGGAAATTGTGCAGGACAATTGCACAAGACTAATTTCTGGAGAAGTGGACACCCACTAGCAAGAGACTCATTCCAAGCTAACACTTTTTACCTATACACTGGACAGATGGGAATATCTTCACATTCTCTTTCCTCATACAAGGTGTCCGGGCATGCCTGTCCCCCATTGGCAGCATCCTGAACAATAATCCTGTACCGGGACTGCTTAACTGCAGTGGCATTGCCTGTAAAATAAAGAAAAAAATTGCATTCCAGACACAGTTGGCACCCCGAGCTAGTGATCTAGTTGTCTTGGTTCAAAGCATGCTTTGTGTTTCGTTTACATTTTGAAACTATGAGCACTTTGACACTACCCAAATGGAAGGAATGATAAGCTGGATCAAAAGCTACCATTACTTGCTTTAAAATTACCAGTAGTTCAGCCGAAGAGCACCTGGAAGGTTGACAAATCAACAGCCTAAGAGACGCATTACAAAACGTCTATTTAACAGAACAGCAAATCAGACAAGAAAATAAGTAAGAGCAAATACTTAACCAGGAGAAAAGAATAAAACCAAAAAAACAGGCTGTCATAATGGAAGGTTTTGTTTCCGAAAACACATTCTGGTGGTCTCAGGCTGCTACCTGTAACCCATCTTTATGGGTCTAGAAATTATAGATGATAGCTTCCTGATAGGAAAACCATCGCAACGAACAGAGGCTAACTCTCTGCTTAACCTGAGACAATGCAAGATCAATCCATCTAAAAACACAGTTCACAAAATCTACAGTACAGAAGGCAGCATGAAAGACAAGGATAAGATTTATCAGTACATCTCTATAGCTAAAACAAACACAATTCTCAGCTGTCTAAGCGGTAAGTACAAACTGAGAGCTGGTTTAACCACTGTGTATGGCATTAGTACTTCAGGTACTGTATTCGCATTTCAAAAACAGAAGCTAGAAAACTGAAAAGGAATCTCAGCAGAACTCTATAAAGGATTCCAGACCAGGCAAATATCTTTTACTAGTGGACTTCATCAAATTTGTCCAAGAGAGGAAAGCAGTGTGTAAATTAGCCCACTTATGAGTATTATTTTTCCAGCTCCAGATAAGGCCAAAGCTGCAGTAGCAAGATTACAGTGCATTAGAGTAGAAGGAAAAGTTAGGCTAAGTCACACCATGAACACAAAGTACAAGTACAGGTCCAGTAAAAATGGTTGGCTCTAAAAATAGCAAGTTATACAAGCCTTCACTCGCACACGTGCTATCACTGTGAGATCACCGCAAAGGGACTTGGGACCTGGCAGGAGGTTGCTCACCCCAGCGGCTACCCTGAGGCAGGATAAGTGCATCCAGGGCGATCCCTCTCCTGCTTCCTTCTTTAACAGCCACTACCTGAGGCATCTTTACAGCTTCCTACAGTCTCCTTACAGATGCCAGATTCAGCACTTGTAAAGCCTCACAGAGAGCCTTTTCTTAAAATCTAGCCCAAGTCATTGCTCCTGCAAATTAAGCTAAATGTTTTTTATCTTCCATCCACTAGATGTAAAAAAGAGTTTATCCCTATCATCTGATGCATAACCTTTATGAAATTTCAAGGGTTTGTATTGACTCCAAGTCTTCCTCTCTCTAAACTAAGCAAACCCAGTTCTTCATAGGTCCTATTCAATTACCTCTCGTTGCTCGCCTTCTTTCAACGCTGTGCCCAAGGAATCCCACCTGCAGCCTCACCACTGCACAGCACAGAAACACCTTTGGTCACAACATGCCCATGAGTTTGACAAGCCCAATACGAATTTTAGCATTTCAAATCGTTGACTGTCATTCATTTCGTAGTCCGTTCTATCTTCAGAGGTGCCTGAGACAGTACGGATGTATTTACTTCCCATTCTGTCTTTCTGCAATCAATTTTTCCTTCCCGAGCCACATTTGGAGAAATTTCTCAATTATTTTAATATCATTTAACATATTGTCTCTTGTGTTTGCTACCTCTTTCAGCTCTGCAACATCCAATAACGTTATTATTCAAGCACGCAAGCTCTTCAGACAAATATCATTTGAGGCAAGAAGAGTTTTCTGTAGGTCTCCCCTTAGCTCATGTTCCAGTTTGATCGTGAATAGTGGACATCTACCAGCCAACTTCTTTGCAGAGAAAGACGTAGCGGTCCTGATGGACAAGTTGACCATGAGGCAGCAATGTGCCCTTGCAGCAGAGACCCGCTTAGTAGACGAGGGAAAGGCTGTGGATGTAGTCTATCCAGACTTCAGTAAAGCATTTGACATGGTCTCCCACAGCATCCTCCTAAATAGATTGGCTGCTCATGGCTTAGATGGGTGGACTCTTCAACGGGTAAAAAACTGGCTGGATGGCCAGGCCCAGAGAGTTGTGGTCAATGCAGGTAAATCCAGTTGGCAGCTGGTCACTAGCGGTGTCCCCTAGGGCTCAGTTTTAGAGCCAGTACTGATTAACATCTTTATAGATGATCTGGACGCGGGGATTGAGGGCACCCTCGGTAAATTTGCAGATGACACCAAGCTGGGTGGGAGTGTTGATCTGCTTGAGGGTAGGAAGGTTCTACAGAGGGACCTGGACAGGTTGGATCGATGGGCCGAGACCAACAGCATGAGGTTCAGCAAGAACAAGTGCTGGGTCCTGCACTTTGGCCACAACAACCCCATGCAACGCTACAGGCTGGGGAAGGAGTAGTTAGAAAGCAGCCAAGCAGAAAAAGACCGGGAGGTGCTGGTTGACAGCCAGCTGAACATGAGCCAGCACTGTGCCCAGGTGGCCAAGAAGGCCAACGGCATCCTGGCCTGTATCAGAAACAGCGTGGCCAGCAGGACCAGGGCAGTGATCGTCCCCCTGTACTTGGCACTGATGAGGCCACACCTCGAATACTGCGTTCAGTTCTGGGTCCCTCACTGCAAGAAAGATCTTGAGGTGCTGGAGCAAGTCCAGAGAAGGGCAACGAAGGTGGTGAAGGGTCTGGAGCACAAGTCTGATGGGGAGCAGTTGAGGGACCTGGGGGTGTTTAGCCTGGAGAAAAGGAGGCTGATGGGAGAGCGATAAGGTCTGAAAGGAGGTTGTAGCAAAGTGGGGGTCGGCCTCTTCTCGTAAGTAACAAGCAATAGAAGAAAAGGAAATGGCTCAAGATGTACCAGGAAAGGTTTAGATTGGATACTAGGAAAAGTTTCTTCACTGAAAGCCTTGTCAAGCATTGGAACAGGCTGCCCAGGGAGGTGGTAGAGTCAACATCCCTGGAGGTGTTTAAGAAAAGATTGGATGTGGCACTTAGTGCCATGGTCTAGTTGACATGGTGGTGTTGTTACGGCAAAGGTTGGACTTGATGATCCTAGAGGTCTCTTCCAACCTAATCAATTCTGCGAACTTTTAAAGGGTGACAGCATCCTGGGCTGCATTAGGAAGAGCATCACCAGCAGGTCGAGGGAAATGATCCTTTCCCATCTACTCAGCACTGGTGAGACCGCTGGGTGCAATGTCCAGTTCTGGGCTTCTCAGAAGAAGGATATGGGCACACTGGAGTGAGTCCAGTGAATGGCCACAAATACTATTTAGGGACTGGAGCATCTGACACACAAGAAGAGACCATGAAAGCTGGGGACTCTTCAGCCTGGAGAGAAGACTCACGGGATCTTATCAACATGTATCAATACCCAATGTCAGGCAGTAAAGACACAGAGACAGACTCTTTTCACAGTGATATCTACTGTGAGATTTTTCAAGCAGCTGAGTACCCATTTAAAAATGATTTAATTCAAGTCACTGTTCCTCAGCTTCCTGATAAAAGTTTAATGTGTCAAAAATCTACCACTTCCCTTAATTAGAGCAGCTACACTGTCAAAAAAAGGAGATTAAATTTATTGGGCATGATTTGTTCTCAATAAATCCATACTGGCCACTTTATTAGAATCTGATTCTCGAAATGTTTGTATCTTGAGTAATAACTTGTTCTTGTGTTTTTCTACACAACAAAGTTTGGATGAGTAATTTACAATTTTCTTGACCTTTCTTTTTTGGAGGGGAGACAGCGAGAGGGAGGATGTTGGTTGGTTAGCTGGTTTGGTTTGTCTTCATATTACTGAGTTTTAATTAGTTCCTTAGGACTTAGCAATTTCTCACCGAGAAGATAGTCACTAGATGCTCTGTCGTTACTTTATTATTTCCTTCCCTATTCACACAGCCCTACTGACACGGGAACATCTAATTTATGGAAATACTTATTCTTTAGTCCGTTCCTCTCCTGGCTGCAGACAGGAAACAGCAGCAGCACTTGCACATTGCCCATGTTGTGTTTCCCTCGTTTCTCAGAAAGTAACGGACATAGATTTAATTCAGTTCCCCCTTACTGTTAATCCATTTATGTAATTCTTGTTATCTAACATCCTCCTATAGCTTAATTTGCATTCTTGATTTCTTGTTTCTAATTTTTGTGAAACAATTTGACAATCAAAAAGGAAATGAGATTCTGAACAACTCTGATGATGAGAAAAGATTAAAAAAAGGGTTTCTCTAGTTGTGTTTGATCTTTTCTCTTCATAGTTTGAAGCTTGAACAAGCAAGTCATATCCAGACCTACACACGCTTTATTCCCCTGTGCTACTGGCTTGCTATTATAATAGTTTCAGGATAGAAAGAGTCCAGTAGGGCTTCAGTTCTTCATACCGTCTTTCTTGGTAGCTTCCAGGTCTTCTACACTCCTGTCTGCATACAACATGTTCCCAAGAGGAATAGCTACCAATTCTCTCAGTTTGTTGAAGTCTGTCTCTTTTTTTAAATGTCTTGCTGATATTGCCATCCTTCCCCTCTCCTAAGAATCGTGAACTCTATCACTTTGTGATTATTTTCATTCAAGTTATCTACCACCATTAGAATCTTAGCCATTTCCTTCCTATTAATCAGTACCAAATCTAAATGAGCTTCCCACAGTAATTTTCTCCACCTCCAGAAACTAAATTATCCTCAACATTTATTGCATATTACTCAAACCCCCTTTTCAAAATTGAATTTCCTCATTGGCTTTTCTACAGCATCCCTTACAAACGTTAATGAACATAATTTTTATATCTCATTTAAAATTGCTATAGCCTGATTTTCCGGAGTATTAGCATTATGTAGGACTGCTTTTAAGGCCAAACTTCAGCTGATTTCAAGCATGGCTGTGACTGCTTGGCCTCCTGAAAAAATCAAGCCTCAGGATCTCAAGACCATCCTAACTTCTATGTCCTTGACTTTGCAACTCAGATAATGCTGTTTGAGAATCTCGGGGGTGCCTTACCTCTGCTTCCACTCCCACCTCCCTGTCCCACCAGCCTCCAGTCTCCCCTCCCCGCACACAGAGCCATACAACTCCTTCATCAATCCACACTTCTCATGCCTCCCTTGTTCTTGCATCTTTCCTTCCTCTGCGTTTGACCCCCAGGCTTGCCCCGGTACCCTGCCCAGGGCTCAGAAAGGTGTATCATCGTTCTCAGGTGAGGGACAAAATCCTTGTTCACTACCATAAAGTGTGCTATATCTGGTCCAACTTTTACAGGAAACATTCAGCTTCATACTCTTTGCTCCTGACGACACGGAAAGGCAGAGTCTGGACAACACAAGACTCTGAGCATACAGATAATAAGGACAGATTCTCTGAGTTTTTAGTCATCAAAATCAGAGCTGTCTCCAATGTTTTTCTGCAGATAAGAGCTTTTGAAGAGGTAAGTCTCTAACTTTGACCAATTCTGCTTGAGCGTTTTGTTTATGAGAACTGGAAGTGGCAGATCCTTGACAGAAACTGTCTGACACAAGGTAGAGGTCATTAGAATTTCTTATTGTGGCACGCCATGCATTTTATGCACTTTTACCCCATCTCGTTTCAAATCTGATTTAAGGCATGGGGAAATAAATAGGACAGTTACTACCTAACATTTCATGTAAAATTGTTTAGAGAATTAAGCAATAGTGAAATTTCTAGTCTTCTCCCTGAACAACCAATGCCCAGAAGAGAGGTACTTACTTATTAGGTACCATCTATTTTCAGGAGGAAGATAAAAAATACTATTTATTGTCAGGTGTTTGCTTTTTTTAATCTCCCCATTTTATAACTACGCTGCCAGACCAGAGAGTGTATCACCCATGCTGAAAGCAGTTACCTCCCCCAGGACACCTTCACCACTGGGAAAGCAGGTGACAGAGGAAAATCTACATGCTGCTCATTCAAGCCACTTCATATTCTGAAACCTCCATATTGATTCTTTGATTCTTGCTTCGATTCATCCTCAAAGACCCATTAAAACAGATATATTATAGAAGACTGCGGTAGACAGTTGTCACCTTCAAGTATCTGAAATGGCAGAGAATCAATAACTTGCAACAACCTCTCTGTTCCTGCCTCACCAACAGGTGTTTGGATTCAATTGCACTTCTTTTGTGAATTATGTTGTCCATCCATCTGTTATTGCCCTAAGTTCACCGCCTTCTACACTTCTGAGGTATGAGATAATCCTTCGCCAGAAGACAGTCGGTTGTCTGATGACATTTAAATG